ATGCAGCCCCAGGGAAGTGGCCACTGCTGCACATGACATCGGAGGACAAAGAAGTGCTTCTGGGGTGACTTACGAAGCCATGGATGAGAGCTACACATCTGCCACACAAGTCTGCCCGGTTTGGAAGCGCCATATCTCAACAGAGGCCAGGGCATTCTGATGAAGCCAAGACTTCTAGAACACATCAGCCCTAAGTCCTGGGTTTCAGGATGCTACTTTAAGCCAGGTGTGGTGGCACACACCCTTAGTCCCAGCACTCAGGAGGCAGAGGCAGGCGGATCTCTGAGTTCGAGGCCAGCCTGGTCTACAGAGTGAGTTCTAGGCCAGCCAGGGCTACACAAAGAAACCCTGTCTCAAAGAACCAAAAAAAAAAGCAAAAAAAAGCTTAAGCTTAAGACAGACTATTCTAGACAAAGAAGAAAAACATACTGAAAAAAGTTACTGAACTTTTTAACCTAACTGAAATGTTACAACTAAATCTAACGGCATCTGATTTGAATAGGCTCTGAGAAAGTTTATGTTTAAGGTAAAAGGGATTCAATGCACTATAGAACTGAAAATTTAAAAACTGATGAGGCTGGTGAGATGGCTTAGTGGGCAGAGGTGCCCGCTGCCAAGCTGACAACCCGAGTTTGACCCCAGGGCCCACACGGTGAAGAGGTGTCCTCTGACCTCTGCATGCATGTCATGGCCCACACATGCACACACACCAGTAAATACATGTAATAAAAATGTATTGATGTAAGGTTGCTAATTCCAGGTTGAGAAACTGTGTTGAACATACTTGTATACTACAATAGCAAACTATTTCGATTTAAATGTAAACTTAATTAATCACAAACGCTAAAGGAAACATGCTGTATTGATTGATTGGAAAACTGAGTACCTATAACATAAGTGACGATTAAAAGACCATAACAGAGCATTTCAGCTTAACTACTGTAAAAAAATAAATAATAGTGAGGCTGTAAACTGTATTTCATCTGCATTGTTTTACTATGGTTTTACCACTGAATTCTACACACAATTGCAGTAACATTTCTGATATTAGTAAATTAATTAATTTATTTTTCAGACACAAGGGAGGTCTCACTCTGTACCTCTGGCAAGCCTGGAACTCACAGAGCTTCACCGGCATCCGCCTCTCCAGGGCTAGGATTAAATGAGTACACCACCATGTCCGGCCCAAATCAGAAGTATACACTTCATAAGACTTATTTATTTTGTGTCTGAATGTCCCCTGCATGTGTCTATGCACGCCATTCGTGCTCCCAGTGTCCTAGAAGTCAGAAGAGGTTCTCAGATCCCTTGTCACGAGTTCCAGTCGTGAGCTGCCGTGTGGGTGCTGGAGGCAAAGCCAGGTCTTCTGCAGGAGCAGCTCTTTTAACCACTGACCACCACCGACCACCGTCACTCCTTTCCGAGCCAAGGTCTCACCAGATAGACAACCCAGGCTGGCCTCAAACTCACCAGATAGATAACCCAGGCTGGCCTTGAACTCACCAGATAGATAACCCAGGCTGGCCTTGAACTCACTAGCTAGATAACCCAGGCTGGCCTCAAACTCACCAGATAGTCCAGGCTGGCTTTGAACTCATGATCCTCTAGCTTTAGTTTTCCAAGAGCTGGGATGACCACCACAGCTGGCTTTAGGGAGTTTTGCATAATATCTACACTGACATCATTCAATCTATTCAGGTTCAAAAAAACATAACCCAGTCTACTTCATCACGTACAACTTAACTTAGTACTCATCAAATGTACTAAATTAAAACCAGCATCAAAAACCAAAGTATTAGCTGAAGAGAAGGCTTGTTGCTATTGCAAAGGACCCCGGTTCAGTTCCCAGCACCCCCGTGGTCGTTCACTAGTCAGTAGCTCCAGGAGATCTGATGCCCTCTTCTGACCTCCCCAGACACAGGAACACACATGGTGCACACACATACATGCAGACATAATGCCCACACACATAATAAATTCAAAAGAAGATCTGAAACTCCTGGGCATGGGGGCACACATACCTCAGCACTGCGAAGAGGATCGGGAGTCCAGGCCAGACTCAGCTACACAGTGAGTGTGAGTCTAGCCTGGGCTGCTTTTTGTTTGTTCATTTACTTTTTATTTACTAAAACTTGCAATAAAACTTACATAACTTAAGAAAATAAATTGCAACTTCTGCACATCAACTCTGCTCAAAAGGGAAAAAAAAAGGAAAAAAAAAACACAAAACATCCTATTCTTCGCCTATTCTTAGTTTTTAGAATAATGACTAAGCTGGATAAACACCAAGTATATCGTACTGAATTCAGCAGTGTAAATTGGAATTATTCAGTGTCAAACAAAAGACAGATAAATACCTAATCTAATAGATATAAGCCCTAACATAAAATTATAAAAACGAATTAGCTTATATAAAAAGCGAAAGCCTACTGCAAAAAGAAAAGAGCAAGTCCGTTATAACAAGTATGACCCTTCACCATCACACAACAGTACCAGATTTTCTCTAAAATGTAAAATGCGTACCATCCAGGGACACACTTAATCCACAGAGATAAGACACAAGTTTAATACCAAAATTAAAGAAAGAATAATCAGGAAAGCAAACAGAAGATCGTTGCACATAGAGCTGTGACTGCTGTGTTCAGCTGACTTTTATACATACCAGTTGTAGTCCTCTGGAAGAGAAGAATATGTAGACTTACAGCAGACACTGGATAAAGCTCCATCTGCAAAAACCCACATGGTAAAATAGTTTAGTTCCCTGAGCATAAAGGCTAATTTCAACATCAACCAATATCTGTTTCTTTTTTGTTGTTTATTGAGACAGGGTCTCACCATGTAGCCCTAGCTATTCTAGAACTCACTCTGTAGACCAGGCTGGCCTCTAACCCACAGAGATCCACTTGCCTCTGCCTCCCACTTAAGTGCTGGGATTAAAGGTGTCCATCATCACACCTGGCTTAAATGCTTTTATTATTTTTTTATTTAATTTTTAAAAAATTAGCTGGGCGGTGGTGGCACACACCTTTAATCCCAGCACTCGGGAGGCAGAGGCAGGCGGATCTCTGTGAGTTCGAGGCCAGCCTGGGCTACAGAGTGAGTTCCAGGAAAGGCGCAAAGCTACACAGAGAAACCCAGTCTCGGAAAAAAAAAAAAAAAAAAAAAGTAAGTTTGAGATTACCCCCAGAAAACTAAGGATCAGCTCCCTCCAGAGAGGATTTCTCCTGCACCCGGGGCTAGGACCCACTGACTTCCCACCGACACACCTCTACCACTTCCCAGGACAGAACACCCTTCACACTTCTTCAAACACCGCTAAGCCTTCAAAGTCAATGTATTTTTGCCTATGAAGTCCTTCTGTGGCCTCTCGGCACTCTGGCCTCTCTCACAGGAGAACAGCTGTCTATTTACATGGCCACGATCCGTGTTCACAGGACCTTACTCATCCCTCTCTGCTGTCCTTGTTTGCCCCAAGTAAGTTACTATGGGACCACATAGCTTCAGAAGCTCTAAAAACACAAAATCTACACCCGATGTCCACTGCATACAAGAGTTTAATGCTCCCTCACAAGGGAGGGCTTTTTCCTGATGCTCTTTGTATGTTCTCTTTAAACTGTGGATTGTGCTTTGCCACCAATGTCAATATCCTTTTTCACATAAAATGTCAAAAATAGAACAATTTAAATTAGCTCACGGTGAACTGACTATTCTGATAATCCCAGTCAACTCAAATCAGTTAATTAAACATTAGGGACTGAGGCTAGATATCAAATGTGTACTAGGGACACAGTATAAATGGAATGGGCAATCTAACAGTGAAAGGATCATTTCAGTAAAGAGGGACAAATAAGTAGTCCCACGTTAACTCCTGTGAAGACTGAGGGCAGTGTTGGGTCTGAGTTCTCGCCACCCTGGGGCTTGGCTTCTCTTAGGGAGACTACAGGGTAGGTAGCATGGATCTTTCTCTCAACTTGCCACCAAGACTGATGACCTAAGTTCCATCTCTGAGGCCCACATGATAGAGGAGAGAGCCAATTCCACAGACAAACATGTAATAAAAAAAAAAACACCAACTAAAAACAGAATTATGAAAGCTACACATGTGGTTTACATAGAATCCAGGTCAGTCAGAGCCACGGGGCCACACAGCGAGGCCCTGTCGCAAGACAACAAAGCAATAACCAGCATCTGACCCTGTGTACCACTCTGACACAGACCCTAAGGGGCCAAGTCAGGCCCCTGAGATCCTTGTACATCCATCCTATTGTGCACTGCTCACAACAGTCAAGACAACCCTCAACAGGCAACGGGCAAAGACAATGTGGCACATACACACTTTATTCAGGTATGAAGAATGAAAACACGCCACTTGCAGAAAAATGGATGGAACTCACGACCATCACGTTAAGTGAAGTAAGTCACACTCTGAACGACAAATAGCCCTGAGTGTGGCCCTCACAGCTGTAACTCTATTATTAGGGAGACTGAGGCAGGAATCCACACGTTTGAAAGCAGGCTGGGTGAGAATGAAACATTAAAAACAGTAACAACAACAAACGCCTAGAGTAGTGGAAATCCTAGTGTTTGGGAAGTGGAGGCAGGAGGATCATGTATTCATCAAGGTTAGCCTCACCCCCACAGCAAGTTCAAGACCAGCCTGGGCTACATGAAACTGTCTCAACCAAAGAGAAAACCGAGCCAGAGATACAGCTCAGTGGCAGAGCTGACCTAGCATGTGTAGTTTCAACTTCCATGGCCACAAAAAAGAAATGAAAGATTCTGGACTAAGGATACAGTTCAGAGTGTTGTACAGTATGCATACTATACAAGTATGAGGACCCAAGTCTGGATTGCCACACCCACGTAAAAGCCGCTGTCTCTGAAACCAACCATGGGGAGAATGAGAGAGTCGGAGATGGGCAGGTTCTTGGTGATCACTGGCTATCCAGTCTAGCTGAAACCACAAGCTCTGGGTTCACTAGAAACCGTCTCAAAAAATAAGGTAGAAAGCCAACAGAAGAAGACAACCTAAGTTGACCTCTAACCCCGTACAGATGCCCAGGTGAACACACCCATGCACATATCACACACACAAATAAAAAATAACAATATAAAGAGGGGGCTGAGATAACTCAGTTGGTAGATGCTTGTTCACAAGGATGAGGACCTAAGTTAAAACCCCAGCCCCCATGTACAAAGCCAGGAACGATGGTGTGCGCTTGTAGTACCCACACTGGAGAGTGAGCAGAGACACACCCCAGACAGCCAAGTCTATTGGGGATCCCCAGGTCCTAGTGAGAGACCATCTCCACAAAAGGTTGATGGAGCCTATGGGAAACACCCAAAGTTCTCTGGCTTCCACAGGTGTACTCACATCAACATTCACACCTACCACACACACACACACACACACACACACACACACACAGAGAGAGAGAGAGAGAGAGAGAGAGAGAGAGAGAGAGAGAGAGAGAGAAGACAAATACTATGCATTTTCCCTAAAATGCAGAATCTAGATATATATAGGGGTATTGTGGGTTTTTTGTTGTTGAGACAGGGTTTCAGTATGCAGCCCAGGCTGGCCTCCAACTTCCAGCAATCTTCCTGCCTCTGCCTCCAGAGTACTGGATTACAGGTGTGCATCTCCACGCCCGGCCTGTTTACAGAGGATGTGAAAGCGGAAGGGGACTAGAGGAAGAAGTTTAAAGAGAGGGGGAAATCAGGGAAGATAATGAGGGGAGGAATACTCCATGTTTTCGCTCATATGGAAATCTAGACTTAAAGCTATGTATAACTACATGACCCAAAAGCAAAAGGGGACTATTTAGGGAGAGGAACAGAACCAGCAAAAGGCAGGAGGAGGACACCAGGGTGAATGAGTAAGTCACCAGAACTATGTATGCAAGAAATGTCATAAACTTATTATTTTGGATGCTAACTAGAAGGTTAACTAGAAGGTAAAAATACAGCAACTTTATTGTTTATTATCAGTATTTGGAGACAGGGTCTCACTATGGAGCCATGGCTGGCCTGAAACTCACTATGTACACCAGCTTAGCCTTGAACTCACAGAGCTCCACCTGCCTCTACCTCCCAAATACTTAAGATTATAGGCCTATGTCACCATGCCCATCTCATCACAGTAACTTCTTGTTGCTGTTTTAAGACAGGGTCTCTCTAGACAGCCTTGGCTGTCCTGGAACTCACTAGACAGTCCAGGCTGATTGCAAACTCAGAGATCCCCCTTCCTCTACCCCAGCGCTGGGATCAAAGGCCTGCGCCACCACGCTCAGCTCACTATAGAAACTTTTAAAAGCCTAGATAACCAAAAGTTCATTGTGCTTTGTGTTGACTCCTATTGTAAATAGAATGTGATAAATGAAATCATGTTCAGAGCCCTAACAATGAGGAGTAGATGAGCAAGGGGTCAGGGACAGAAGGCTTTCTATAAAAGTGGGTTCAGTAAATTTGAACACTGCTTCAAAGAGGAGTTTAGTGAGCAAAGGTTTGTCTTGCCTCAGATGCCCCTAAGTTACCTATTTATTGCTGGGGGTAAGGGGAATGAAAGCAGACAGCTGTGAGAAGCAGGATTTTACATTCTACTATTGATGAGTTAACAGACTGACTATAAAGCATGTATTAATAGACTTTTGAGATGATCTTTAGAAAGGAACTACATTTATTTGTTTAATGGCTGTATCCATAAGGGAAAAAACCTCCCACAATATTAATAGTGATTATCCCTGGAAGATGGGACTTCTTTTGGATTTGCTTTTTATTTCCAAATCTTGGGAACTACTAAAAAGAAGAAGGGACCTAAGCTAAAACCCCAGTACCCATTTACAAAGCCAGAAATGATGGTGTGCGCTTGTAATACCCACACTGGGGAGTGAGCAGAGACACACCCCAGACAGCCAAGTCTATTGGGGATCCCCAGGTCCTAGTGAGAGACCATCTCCACAAAAGGTTGATGG